CACCCATCACGACACTCGGACCCTGTAGCCTGGCAAGGTGGCAGGACGCGGGCAGGCCACAAGCTCAGTGCGACAGGCGTGAACGCACGCTCACACCTTCCCTGCTCTTCCCAGCCAAGCATCCTCAAAGGCACGCGAGGAGCGCGGCTGGTGCCACAGCCCCAGTGCATCACCGAAAGGCCGGGAGGGGATGCTGGGCTGAACCCCATGGCCATGTTTTCATAGCTTCTTCTACCCCAAAAAGTTTCCCAGCTGAAAGCTCCATCTAGTGCCAATGCCTCTCCCCTGCCCAAGTCACAGAAGAGCTCGCTCCTCATGGGGTATTCCCAGTCCCACCACAGCTAACGGGATGTGAGCCCGGGGGGCCACTTTCAAACCCTCCACGCCTGTGGAAGGAAGGAGGAGAGACCTGAGCAGCATCGGCCCTCTTCACAGCCGCCGGGCGTGGGACCCCGAGTCTTTTCTTTCTGCTCCTGTCTCAGCTGATGTGCTCCACGAGGGCTTGCAAAGCGGAGGTACTACTCCCTGTTGCCAGCAATGAGGCAGCTTGGAGCAGGATGGAGAGTAGCAGAAGCACCAGGGCATGGACCTGAGGGCTTCTGCTGCCTCTGGACACAAACAGGACTAGGCAGAGGGACTGGCCCCACCAGCTCCTCCCCAGCAGATCATCCCCTGCCCAGCGCTTTGTCCCAAAGCAGAGGGCATTCCTTCTGGGTTTCCCGCCTCACTCCCTGCTCCCACACAATTGCTTTTCTCCCCACAGAGAGGATTTGCCCTGGGAACGTCACCATTCGTGCCAGACCTCGCTTTCTGCAAGGCTTGTACTGACACTGCAAGACAGTGGTGTGGATGTCGGACCATGCCCTTTTATCTTTTCCCTCCTTCATCTGCCTATCGATTTGTCCCTCCCTGGAACGTATTTATCCTCCATCTGGTCTGAGATCTGCGGACATGTCTCTAGTCTAACAACTCATCCTCTTCTCCAGCTACTGAACTTCTCACCTAGGAGAGACAGGGCTGGAGATACCTTCCTCTTCCCCCCAGGAGAAAACCAGTTGTTGGAATTTGCTTCAGAAGATGTTTGCTAATGCCACCGCAGACACTGGTCATGGCTACGGCAGAAGAACGACCGTTCATCCACCCTAGTGCTGTCCTTCCCCTGGGATTCCTATCGCATGCCGCCCCGTGTCGGCGCCAGCACCCTTGCCCAGCGTGCCTCTCCAGGGCACAGCCTTCCAGCCTGCTCCCCGCTGTCAGGAAAGCCAGCACCCATCGAAAGCCACCAGCTGCCCAGGCACCACTTGGCTGGGGGTGTCAGAGCCCCAGATAATTTAGGGTGCAGTGTATGTTCTCGGTCCCTCTCGTTCCTAGAAGGCATGAAGTTATACCGGCTGCCTGCTTGTTCAAGAAGTGTGAAATTCTTTCTCTGACCTTTTCCGTTATGTTATTAAAAGGCTTCATGGCCAGTTGTTTCAGAAAAAAAAAATAATATTTCAATATCTGTTGGTAGCTGGGGCAGAACTTGCCCATATCTTCAGGCTGAGCTCTGGTCACCTCCCAGCTTCACCCAAGCCTTGCAGAAGGGCTCCGAGCTTCTCCAGCCCGGCTTTCCCCAGCACAGCAGGGCTCACAGCAAGGGAGGAGAGAAGTTTGCATGGGGAGAGGTCGCTAACAACTGCAGAGCCCTTAACAGCCCGCTCTCCCCTCCGCTCAGCCGCTGGGTCGCAACGCGTGCGTAACTCCAAACTGCAATGATTTATGTTACGGGGCACCCTGGAAGCTTTTGACTGGAGTAAGGACCCCTTCACGCTGGTCACCATAAAAGCAGACCCACAAGCAATCTCTGGCCTAAGGCGCTTATCACACGGACAAAGAGCACGGACAAAGGAGAAGAGGCCGCCTTTGGGCGTATTGCAGGCTCCCGGCACGCGGCAGGCGCCGTTCCTGCGAAGTGTGGACTCTCCAGATGTTCTCGTGCAAGCAAATGACTACCTGAATCTGTATGATAAATGCGTTTCACTGACAGAATTAAACAGCTGGATGGATGGATGAACGGACAGACAGGAAGACGGAAGGAATGAGAAATAGAGAACAAAGAGCAGACAAGCAAAATCTTTGAGGGCGGACGAGGCTGTGCCGTCGCAGGGGAGTAACCGAGGTTTGCGCAGGAAGCCGGAGGGGCGAGCGTCCGAGCCCACGCACATGTGGGCCAAGGGCGAGGCAGAGAGCGGAAAGCAGGCAGCGGCTCCGGGTCCCCGCTGGCTGCCTGCACTTCGGGTTGTTTTACAGTTGATTTATACGTGTAACAGGCAATGTTTCTCTGCTGTCACTGACATTAGGAGCTGAAATGCTGAGGAGACGAATGGCCATTTGTCACTGCAAATGAAGTATGCTTGCTCTTTCCCCCCCCCCCCTTTCCATTTTCAGCTTGCCAAGCAGAGGGCAGCGGGGAAAGGAAAAGCGTGCTTGCTCCGCAGGGCAGGCTCACTGCTCTTCCCAGGTCGCAAAGAAAACCCCTTCCCCTCGCCTACATCCACCCGACCACACACAGCCAAGGGGGGCAAGCGGGTAAGCGCCTGCTGGAAGATGGGCAACCAGCCCGGGGTCTTCTGGGCTGCTAGGAGTAACTTCTCCTCCTTCCCCAGGACGTCAGGCTGGGCAGAAGATCAGCGATCTCCCATTGTCTCGGCCCCTCATGGTTTTAGCTGCTCGCCTCCCTACTGGGAAAGAGCTGCAGACACTGCTCTGCCCTGCCAGCTGTGCTTGGCCACCTCTGGCAACGGCTGGTGGGAAGCCTCCTGCCATCCTTCGGCGACCGCTTGCCCAGCCCACGCGCTCCCCTGTTCATCCCGATCTCATAAACCTCCTGATTTGCCTTTAGCGCCCTGGAAACCCATTGCCCCTCAAAATGCACGGTGCAAAACCTGCACTTCTTTGCACAAAGGGGCATTTTGCAGCACTGAGCAAGGGGGGAGCCAACGAGAGTCCCCTTTCATGGGGACGTCATCGAGTGGCCACCAAAGAACTGGGCGCTCCAGGTGGCTTCCCCCTGTGGGGGAATAGCCATAAAGAGCTCCCAGCCAAGCAGAAAAGAAGGAATAAAAAACAAGCGGAGGAATTTAACAGCAAGGAAAGCAGGCGTTCAGCGGTGGTGTCCTTGCCCCGGTCCCTTTTGTGTGCGGCACGTGGGACAGTTTGAGAGGCACGGCGCAGACGGGCAGCGCCGTGGAAGCGAGCAGAGGGCTGCGTCTCAAAGGTGAGCGGCAGCAGCAGGAGGAGCCGGTACTTTATGAGGGTTGTTAAAAGTCTGGGATCAGCTGGGAGGGCAATCTGGATTTCAGCGCTAATTGCATCCATTCTGATTTATCATAGAAGATTCAACTCCTGGCATTTTGCGTTCGCTCCGAAATGCTGGCATAGCTGGAAGTTGGGGAAAGAGGAGACGCAGTAACAATCTCATTGTTTAGTGTCTGACGGCCTGACTAGCTAAACATCTGCTTGAAATATTAATAACTGTCAGATGGGAACAGCTCAGGGGCTCTATACAGTTTCACACCATCTGTTTGTAGAGTAAACACACTTACGCACAGGCGCATACACCCAACCCTTTTGTCAGGGCTTTTATTCGCTGGATCGGCACGTCTGCGTGGGTGGGTGACCGGGGGCAAGGTGAGGTCCAGGGAGGCAGCAAATTCTTCTACGACTAACAGTAACAGAGTAACGTACCCAAAGCTTAGCAGGGGTTTTCATAGAATCCCAGACTGGTTTGGGTGGGAAGGGACCTCACAGCCCATCCAGTCCCACCCCTGCCATGGGCAGGGACACCCTCCACTAGCCCAGGTTGCCCAAAGCCCCATCCAACCTGGCCTTGACCACTGCCAGGGAGCCAGGGGCAGCCACAGCTTCTCTGGGCAACCTGTGCCAGGGCCTCAGCACCCTCACAGGGAAGGATTTCTGCCTCCCATCCCATCTCCATCTCCCCTCCTGCAGCTTCAGGCCATTCCCCTTGGCCTGTCACTCCCTGCCCTTGTCACCAGCCCCTCTCCAGCTTTCCTGGAGCCCCTGCAGGGACTGGAAGGGGCTCTAAGGTCCTCCCAGAGCCTTCTCTTCTCCAGGCTGAACAACCCCAACTCTCTCAGCCTGTCTCCATAGCAGAGGTGCTCCAGCCCTCTGATCAACTTCGTGGCCTCCTCTGGACTTGCTCCAACAGCGCCATGTCTGTCTTGTCACGAGAGCAGAGTGGAGGTTTGATGCTCCCCTCTTTGATATTTCCCATCCCAGATGAGCTTTGCTTCCTATTTAGATTGTTTTTCAGCACAGCGTTTGTTCTGGTTCTTGCTGTGCCCCACAATGGCACCGACATAGACCGTCATCACCCTCCTGCCCCGGGAAAACTCACCAGGGATTTTGGGTGCTCACGCCAACCCAGGAAGGAGGGACAAGCTCTATGGAAATGCCCCGCTATCGTCACCACCTGTCTGCCGCACCACCGTTCTGCTGCCAGCCGTTTAACACCACACTCTGCTAAATACAGTCGTGCCCCTCTTTTCTCCCTCCTTCACCCTTTTGTTGGTTCAGTTGACCTCAGCTGTTTCCAAACAGGGCAGTTCTAAAACTCACATTGAAAGATAAATGTTGGGCGTTCACTCTCACTGATGAAGCGACCAAGTTCATTAGGTACCAGAGCATCTGTTCTCATAAGAAGTAAGGCAAGAGAGAAGCAGGGAATACATGATGGGACACAAGCCATGTACGCAACTGAAATACTTAGTGGACCCCATGCAGAGAGGAGGAGGGAGAGGCAAGACCGTGACTGCCATGACCAGTATCTGCAGGAGAAACTGCTGTCTGCAGATGAGACCTTTCAGTGCAGGACTCTCCTTGAGCTCCCGGCATGGTGGGAACCACACACACATCTCCAGAGATGAGGAAAGGTCAAAGCTCCAAAAGCCCATGGGAGGGCTATACGCCATCGCCAGCATCTCCCACCGCTCCCTTACCAGGCTCCCCAGCCCACCATCTCTTGGTGACAGGCATTGCGGAGCCACACGCGCGCCAAGGACATGGCAAAGAGAGTCAGGATGCTCCTACTCACGTGGACCTGGAGGACGGTGGTGCCCACTGTGGTGTTCTCAAAGAGGCTGACGTTGTACAGGGCCTTGCTGAAAACGGGGCGGTTGTCGTTCTCGTTGATGAGGTTAATCTTCACACGGGCGAAGCCAACGTGGTCTGGGACGCTCTCATTTGCAAAGAGCTGAAATGAAGGAGACAGTTGGAGACACCGTTTGCGAAGCTTGGGAGAGTTATCTATTCTTCTTTAATGGAGAAAACAACGCTCTCCTGAGATCCCTCACCAGATGAGCCAGCTCAGTGCTAACCACCAAAGCATGAATGCTCAAAAAAATAGAAAAAGCCCCTCCCTTCTCCCTTGGGAGCTGCTCAGCTCTGGGTGACCTCAGCCCTTGGGCGAGCCAAACACCCTGCACCACCTGCCCCGAACAGCCCCAGCCTTCACCTGGAAAACTGGGGAATCAGGACCTGCCCCCCCACCGCAGCCTGGAGCAAGGGTAGGAAGGCTTTTGCTCATCTTTCTCCACCAGCGGTATGAAAAAGCTCCTCTGCCAGGACTAACACGGCTGGCGTGGTGTGAGCCTCCTTTGCCTTCCTTGTGAATTTACAGCTCAGGCAGAGAGTGGGACAAAGCAAGAGGCTGAGGAGAGCTGTGGTGCACTTAAAACAAAGTTTTATGCTCTATAAAGCTTTTACAGCCCTGTGACATAGCGAGGGGGAACACGCTCTGCTGAAGCTCTTGCAGCTCAGCCTTTGGATGTTGGAAAGAGAGAAGGCACAGAGCAAATCTCTTCCCTACCTCCTTCTTTTCTTTATTATATTTCCATTTTTTGGGCCATTTTGTAATGCTCCAGAGTTTCATAGTGTGGATTAGAGAGAGGAAGACAGAAACTTGGTTAACGGTCACTCTTAGGTGACTCTCAAAAACACGCACAGGGGTGCAGCCCTACCGAAAATTTGTAGCGAGGAATGGTCTCAAAGTCCAGCGGCACTGCCACGCGGACGCGGATGTCCGCCTTCCCCTGGATGGAGGTCGGCGAGATGATGAAGTGGTTGGAGTTGTTGCCCACCAGGTAAACCTCAAACACGCTGTTGGGTCCCTGGGAAGGGAGAGAGGAAGGCTGACAGTGACAAAGGAGGAGGGACCTGGCGCAGCCGCTGGGTAAGGCTGTGGGCACCCGGGACGAGCCTGGGGGCGAGCGCAGGACAAAAGCACCGACCCGACCACAGAGCCTGTGCATCGGACACAGACCTGCCTGCCCCAGCAGCTTGGATGCAGCCCTCCACCTTCGGATGCGTAAAAATGAATACCGTGCAGGTGCCGGAGAGGCAGGGGAGTGTTTCTCTGCTGGCATTTGGTTAACTGAGTCATACACTTCGGCACTGACCTTAAGCACTCTTTGTTGTGCTTTATTATACGTGTACAACGCGTATGATTTCTATAAATCTTCTTTTCACGTGCACCCGTTTTATACGAAATCTATGTGCACATGAAAGGAACGTATCCCTGGGATAAACCTGCACAGCACACGGCTGGAGGGAAAATCCCTTTTACTGTTTAGAGATCCACGCACAGTATCGCACGCCGGTGTCTCATCACCTCGTGCTGGGGGGCACAGCACGGGTGCCTCTCCCAGGCAGAGGGCTCTTTCCACTAAACCAGCTGGGAACTGGAAAACTCCTCCTCTCCCAAGACCTGGCCGGCAAAGCAGCAGGATCACCGACATACCGGCAGCAGCATTTCAGGGCCCTCGCGCCGGGCACAGCACCCCTTCCCAAAGCACGGCCCAGCAGAGCACGTGAAAAGCAAGTTCAGAAGCTGCCAGAGCCGAATTTCCAATTTTCCCCGAATGACCTCCCTCCTATCAGAAAAAGGGACCAATTAAATGCACGAAGGGGCACTAATAGCAAAAGCTGGCTAAGCGTGACCACCCAGAGCCGGCGACACGAACACAATCCCTGCTTGCCCTCCTCCTCCCCGCACCCCCCGGCAGCCCCTTGGTGGCCGGCGGAGCGGG